GGGGGGGGGGGGGGGGGTCCATAATACAAAACACCTTTAGAAACAAATTGCTATGAATGTTTTAACATTAACTCTCACCGAGTGTAAAGCCTATTTAAGATATGAACAGTCCACTTCTTCACTTTCCACCACCCCCAGGCTTTCCTAAGTTCAGGATCTGCAGGCTGGCCTTCCAAGGGAACTGGCCTCTCCAGTATATTTAAGAATAGCATCATCCAAGCATTGAACACATGTGTATCGAAAAGAAGTCTTGGAATCTCCATCTAAAACATATGCAAAATACTGTTTAAAAAGCATGTAAAATTAAAGGAATATATAATATCAATGTATTCTCGGTGGAAAGATTCATATGCACATTATCCTACAGAAGTACACATGCATATGAAGATATTTTTTCTATTAATCATTATAGTTCATTAATTTCTCCAATAATCATCTGATGTAGAAGAACTCCTTCAAAACAGCTTGAAGTATACAAAATGCAAATGAAGGGAGCCTCCTAGCTTGTGAAATTAAACAAAAAAAAATCCATTTCTTTTGCTGCTTTTAAGGTAATAACCTAGCCAAATAAAATACACAGGAATAATTAAAGGGAGCGTAACATCTTCATATAAAAACTTACATATATTGATGACCAAAATATTTTACAAATGAACTTGATCAATTCCGCTACTTCCAAAGAAGGGTTACCAATCTGGACAAGTCCGCTAAATATATTGAGTAGAAGAGGGAATGTCTCATCAACAATTCGATAAACAGGAGTCCTCTCCTCATCTGATTTAAACCTATCAACGGTAAATAAGAAGATAAACCTTTAGTAAATAGTATGTAAAATCTACTTCATTCAAAATGTAGAAAAATGAAGGGGGGAAAAAAAAAAAAATATATATATATATATATATATATATAAGAGAAATATAGAACTTGACTCCAAGGGGAGTCTCCTTATACATGACAAGGCGACTGAGCAAATTAAGAGTATCACGAGGAATTATTAAAAGAAAATAATAATAACGATGACATACAATAAATATCTACAAAAATAGTTTTTTCATTCCCTTCTTTCTGTTTTAGTGGTGGTGGGGGGCGAATGGTATGGAGTAGAAACTGTATCAAAATAGGTTAAATTTGTAAAAGTTAAAATCAAAAGGGATCTTCTGGTTGACCGTACAACAGGAATGTGTCGTAACACTAAGTACGGCATAAAATGTTGACACTTCAAGGTTGCAATCCAGTATGCAACGCAATCAGACTGGCAAAAAAAATCTACAAAGAACATAATATACTCACTCATATTTTCTAGCAAGAATCCGCAACACAAATAAAGCCCCATAAACGTTTGAAGCTTGTAAATTTTCCTTCACCCATTCAAGAAGACACGGCCATTGCTCCGGAAAATCAGCATGAACGATAGTCTTTAAGCACTCCCCAAGCTGCACCCTGCACACATACAATGTCGAAGTAACAGGAAGCTTTAAGATCCACACAAACCATAATCAATGATTTTTGCAAGTTACTGAATCTAAAACAAAGTTGGTTCGTAGAACAATGGCTTTTAAAAACTTCCACAACATCAAAATATTCAGAAAGGCAATCTTCAATATACAGTCTCGCAACATACATAAACGGACGTTTACCTCAATAACGATGGAACCTGTGACAAGAATGGGAGAATGTTCTTCCGGACCGCATCTTTATCACTCTCAGAAATCTCATGATACTCATCTGAATCAGCCCAACAAGAAGAATTAAGCCACTAAAACTAGCCAATAATTCAAAGAACAATGCAACAAACCCATCTCGTACCTGAGTCGGGCGACCAGTTCTTGGCAATGTAATTCTTGAAATGAATGCTAGCAACTTGACGAACGGCCAAGTCACAATTATTATCCACAATGATCAATAGCATCCTCACCAGATGTTGCGGGGTATGCTGAATCTGCAAACACGGATAAGCCAACACCATCAAAACAATCCATTAAATAACAAAAATAACCAATCAAACCACCAGCTTCAACTAAACTTCAGACAATTTCACACCTTCCAATGACAACCCAATTTCAAGAAATAAACAAAAGCCAAACCCAGCAAAAAAAAACAATCAAAATTTCCATAATCCAATCCCAATTAATCGAAAGCCATCCCAATGGTCAGTAAAGCAATGATCATGCACCTGATTCAAACTCTGCTCAGCAGCCTTCCTTTCATCGGGATTGGGGCTGAGAGCAGCTTGAAGAATCACGACCAAACTGGGAAGATCCATATCACTCCCAAGAACAAAAGATTCGACGAAGGAAAACCAAAACCCAAATCAAAACAAGTCCTCGCAACTGAATTGGAAGCAACCAATGATTGACTCCAATTCGAGAACAGCAATCCTCGCCCAGAAACCGTCCCTCCCAAATGGAATTGGCGGCAGCCACCAGCGAAAATAATGCAACAGGAGAGGGTGATGAACAACAAGAAGAAGGGGTCTGGAAGAAGAGAGTGTGTATGACTTATTTAAAGTACTAGGGTTTACGGCTCTCTTAACCACTACTAACGCTGCTCTCTGTTTTACGTACATATAGTCTCCTTTCCAACTCACACCCACAGTAAATTAAATAATTACATTTTAAAAATTATATTTTAATCATTTAGACTAAATATTTTAAATATTTTCTTGATTTTTTTAGGATAAACTTTCAATATTTGTAAAGAGATAAAAAAAAAATATATATATTCATTGTATTATGTATATTCCTAACTTAATTTTAAAATGTTTAATTATTTAATTTTCATTAATTAATATTAAAATTATAAAATTTATTTTAGTTTTGAAATCTATGCATGTTTTTTTACATGTTATTTCACGTTTGTGTTGTGCACTGATTTTTCGTAATTCGTTACCGTTAACAACAAGACATTCACAACATTATTATGGTTAGTTGTGTCGGGTCGATCTTAAACTTGTTAAAGTTTCCAAATTTGTAAGGAGGCAATTTTGGAATACTTTCACTTTATAGCCCGTTGAAAACGGTACACTTTTTCAACATGTGATCTATATTATTAATTTACATTAACGTCACAGCAATGTATGATTTTATGCTATCCAAACAAACTTTTAGACGTGTCAAGTCGGTTGAGGATTCTTACCTATCCAAACGGACTCCTAAATTCAATTATAGGAACTAAAAATGAGAGGCATACAGGTCCAATAACGAGACGATATATCATTGTTGAGTTTCAACGTGATTTTATAACATTAATGACACCATAGAGACTCTATTTTGTGTATGATCGAGATAAAATATAATTATTTTAAAAAATCAAACAATTCTTATTCATCATAAAAAGTAGGTCAAAATGGGTTCGAATGTCTATTTAATAAATATGGGAATTATCATATATTTAAAAAAATAAAATTATCGTGGAATGAAACTTCTGTTGTTTGATTTTTTATTCCGTAAGTTGCAATTACATAGGCGAACTACCTATACTTCAATTTTGGTAACAATCAAGACAAACAAATAGAGATAAATCTCTCTAAGCTAACACGATATTAATATTCATTTTCATCATATTCAATTTCACGACATACGACGATAAATAACACGAATGGTATAATTTTTTGTTAAAATGCAATTTTGTCTTTGTTGGATGAAAGTCTCACATCGGCTAATTTAGGGAATGATCATAGGTTAATACTATCTTCATTGGTAGGAGGCATTTTGGTAAGCCCAGAGTAAAGTCACAAGGGTTTGTGCTAAAACTGGACAATATCATACTATGGTAAAGAGTCGTGTTTATCTAACAGTCTTGACATACAATTTACAATTATAAAATTGATGCTCGTTTTCATGAAAAATATAAAAATAGTTAGCTCATTTTGTATGCTCGTATGTTTGAATTTGAGGATAAAAAGTTTGTTTCTTAGACAAGATTTAACGCACCCAACATAACGAAGCACATTTCGTTATTTATATGCGCATGTGTTCTATATTGGTGGTGAGAGGAATGCCCGTTGATCTCGTTCCATCATTTGGATATACATAAGCCAAAATCCACAATACTAATAATGCCTTTTGACATAAATGTAAGGAGGATGTATATCTGGTATAGGCGGAATAGATTCAATTACGTCGATTAAGTACAAATGAAGAAATTACGAATTGAAGGATCGAAACTGTAACAACACAGAGATCCCACATCGATGGGAGAAGAAAATGAAGCATCCTTTATAAAGGTGGAAAAACCTCTTTATAGTAGACACATTTTTAAACCACGAGTCTGACAACGACATGTATTAGCTCGAAACAGACAATATCTATTAGCGGTGGACTTGAAATGTTACAAAATGGTATTAGAGCTAGACACCGGGTAGTGTGCCAGCAAAGACGTTGGACTATCCTCCAAGGAGGTGGATTGTGAAATTATACGTGGGTTGGAGATGAGAACAAAATATATATGCTATAAGAGCTTCTTCCGAGTAGACACGCAAGCATGATTGATACCAATTTTCTTATAAACCCTGGCAAGAAGAAGGCCCACGACAACGCGCTTTGCGAATCCAAAGCCCAAATTCCAGTTTGGAGGCAATTCAAAGGTATAATTTCGTTATAGATTTACGCCCACGCACTCTGCTTAGTCTATCTCTCTCTCTCTTTGGGGCTCTGCGCACGGCGGGAAAAGACAACTTTTCCTTTTGCCCCAAAACCTCCCTCCAAAATCAAAAGCGAACATCTCCATCGCCATCCGATTCCCTCCAAAACCCTAATTTTCACAACCCCATTTTCCATTTCTCTTGCGAACTTCTGTGTAATACCCCCTTTTGCTCTCAGCTACTTCCCTTGATTGCCGCTATTTTTGGGGGTGTTTTGTTGCCGGAGGGAGCAGAAGTGGTCGGAGCTTTTGCTCTCTCTCTCTCTCTCTCTCTCTCTCTCTCTCTGCGTTTCTCTTTTGCTTTTCTTGTCAATGGCATTTCCTCTCGAGCAGCGGCCAAAGCCACCGATTTTAGACGGGGAAGATGGAGATGATATCAATATCGATGTTTATAATGCTGGGACTCCGATTCGGTACCTTTCTCTTGATCATGTCTACTCCACTACGTCTCCGTTTGTTAGTACAAGTGGGTCTTCGAATGTAATGTCCAAGAAGGTGAAAGCCCGGAGGCTTCTGGTGAATCACTTCGACGATCTTAATTTCAAGCCGCCTCGTTTGCTTCATGTCTATTCTCGCCGCCGGAAGAAACCCCGCCATTCGTCTGTCAGTTCGTCTGTGTACGACTCTTTGGTTGAGGAGGTCGAATTGGGCTCCAAAACTGTTATGAAATCTGAAGCTTGTGAGATTGATGAGATGGTCAATGGTGTGGACGATCTTGTAGGCGAATTCGAAGTTGATAGAACTCCGAAGAAGAAGAAGAAGGATAACTTTGGGTGCAACGAGCTTGTTAAATTGGAGGTTAATTCCAGTGTTATTCGTGCAATGAATGGTCCTAGGTTGAGAGACTGCCGTACTCATAGCAATAACAATAAAAATTCTGGACGGAGAAAGAAGCGCAATTCTTCACAAATTTCTGAGAAGACTATGTTCAAATCTCCTACTGCTAAGAGATGGGTCAGGTACTGGTTTCTGATTTTCGAGTTGTAATTTAAGGCACCGGAGGGAGCAACGGCTTCTTCGGAGCTGGAAATGTGCTGTTTGAAGTATTTGCTATATATTTTCTCCATCTTGATTTTTTCCCAGTCGTTTCTCACTTTGTCAATTCTATTTACTGGAATATCATTGATTATCAATTCACAGGTTAAGTTTTGAGGATGTAGACCCGAAAGTGTATATTGGATTACAATGCAAGGCAAGTTCTTCTGGTTGTACCCAGCGTTTGATTTTCAAATAGCCTTTATGGGATTTGGGTTGAAGTAATGTGGTTCTTTGGGTCATTACAGGTTTATTGGCCATTGGATGCTGATTGGTACCATGGTCGTGTTGTGGGTTATGATTCAGAGACTGGTCGTCATAATGTATGTTCTCACATATATAATTTTTAGACCTCACAGTAGTTGTTTGATAAGCGTACTTGCTGTTAACTGTAAACTATGTGTCTTCTCTTGTATTGATCTCACCAGTTGGCTTTGATTGTTGGTGTTCCCATTTATTCTTACGTACAAAATTCCATGTAGATTGAATATGAAGATGACGACAAAGAAGATTTGGTACTTTCAAATGAGAAAGTCAAATTCTATATTTCTGGTGAAGAGATGCAGTCTTTGAACTTGAGTTTTGGTGTCGATGGCATAGATAGCGATGCTTATGAATACAATGAGATGCTCGTATTAGCAGCAACCTTGGATGACTACCTGGAACCTGAACCTGGGGATATTGTTTGGGCTAAACTTACTGGTCTGTGCTTTACCGCTTCCCTTTTCCCTCTTTTCCCATCCTTTTCCCACTCTTTTGTGTGACTAGGAAGAAATGTCCATGCAAGAAAAATGAAATGACATGTGTGGTTTTTCAAATAAGGAAAGATAGATAAGTTATTCTGCTTCTATGTTTAATTTATTGGTTGAATTTGATTTGACACAGGTTCAAAATTCTCGTTCTTTTACACAATGATCATTTGGAATTGAAATATTCAATGCAACTGTTGTTGTATTTAGATGAATTAAAACCCCTAGAGTCTGAGGCTGAGTTTCTTACCAAAAAAGAAAGATTTGTTTATTGCGTGTGTATACACGTATGTATGCATGTTCCAAACAGTACGGTTTACTTGTTTTTTTCTCCAGAATTAATCCATTTCTGGTAACCCTTGGTGATATGAAATAGTGATATATTTCATTCAATGTTTAGTAGATGTATGCATGAAAGAAGTGGTTTAGACATCAGAACATGCAAAATTGACACTACATGATTCTTGTGGTGAAGAGATAAAATCCATTCATCCAAACATGAGAACTTACACTCATGCTCTTCTATTCTTACAATAAGGTAAAGTGATGTAGTCTGTAGACCACAATCCAAGAGTCATAGACTCCCAGGAAAGGACTGGAAAAATATCTAGTTATAGATTCTAATGCTTTCTTGTATCTGTCTTATAGAACATATTGTCATTTTCCTTTTAGTTTCCTGAAAATTAAGAAGTCTAGCCAACAATCTGATAAGTTTCTCTCTCCTAGTTATCTCCAAATAGTTGAAAAAGTATTTCAACTTGGTTTTTTATTTTCTCAGTTGGGAATGAAATTTGTGTTTGTCTTGTCTTGAGAAGATTGTTGGATTGACAACAACCCCACTGCCTTGTCTTTATTGTTTTTCATGAGGAACTAGTGCCTCCATCTTGCCTTTTCTCTTCAGCTTTCAGTTTTTCCGTGCCCTCAATGATGGGAAGTCTTGTGAATTAGTTGCTTTTTAGTTTATTCTTGAGCAGAGATTGCCGTTGTATGTCTTCTGTTTTCTTCTAGAATTTTCACCTTTGGTTCCTTCCTTTTGGTCTTCTTCGGGTTACATGTTGGAGGCCTTACTGGATTCTCTTTCAAACTTTTAGTAAGCCAATAAGGTAGAGAACTTGGAGGCTTGTGGTAGAGTGCAAGACAATTATTTGCCCACTTTGGTAGATGAACTTGGTGATATAGTAAAGGAATTCTTGGGTTTGTGCGAGAGAAAATAGTTTGATACAATTGATGGGTCACATCAAATATCCCATTGATAATAATGGTTGAGAACCATTGTGAAAATTCTCTATTAATGTAAAGGTTTGGGAGAATCATAATCTCCAATCCATTCACTAAAGAAATATATATCCATGTTACAAGGTAAAGAGAAGTTAAAAGACAATAAAAGACAACACAACTAATACATTTACAGAATTACAATTATATTGATATAAGAACCCTAACATTCTCATAGGCTCTTTACTGAATAGCTTCTTGATTGCTACATGAGAGGTGGCAAAAATGCATCCATGAGAGAGGCATGCTTTAATAATATTTTTATAAAAAATATGTAGGATAAATTTATACAAAAAATATAGCCATAATTATCCTTAAGACAGGATTTAATACATTAAATGTCTAGTGACTTTTTTTTAAAAACTTAAAAAAGTAATGTTTTATGAAATGAAGAACGAGCATCTTAAGAAACTTAATAAAAGAAAGTGAGTGTGTGCTGGTTATCACTGCAAAAGAAGAAATGATGGAAATGAAAAATGTATTAAAATAAGGAACAGCTTAGAGTAAAAAAAAAAAAAGAAAAAGAAAAAAAAAAGACTGCAGAAGCAACATACTGTGACAGGCTGAAAGTCAATCGACGGACAGGGTTAAAGTCTTGCAACAGAGAGTAGTAAATCGACGGACAGGGGGTTGTTGTGTATGGGTTTTGTTCAAAAGTCTGAGAACTTGCTGCGTTTGCCAGCACCATCTTCCCTAAACTGAAAGTTAAAGTCAAAAAGAGAGCCAGGTAAATTGCAAAACTAAAATTGAAAGTTGAAATTGATAAGGAAAGAAGTAAAAATTGAAGAAAGAATAAATTTTGTGGGTTAAAATTGAAGATGGAAGCAAAATCAAGGATTGAATGAGGAAGATGAAAGAAATTGTTAGGCAGAAAACACATACCTTCATGCGGACCAGTGCTTTTGATACCATTAAAGAATGCTATGGTGATAGAAATGCAAAAATGAAAAATTCCTTGTTTCTCTTAATAAAGGTTGTTTCTTATATAAATTGTAATTTTTGCAATGGGATGATTCATTCACTTGAACATATTCTTATTACTTCTTTTGTTAGTTAAATGCAGGTCATGCTATGTGGCCAGCAATTATAGTGGATGAATCACTCATTGGTGATCGTAAGGGCTTAAGAAATATTTCAGGAGGTAGAACGGTCCCTGTTCAATTTTTTGGTACACATGACTTCGCAAGGTTTGTAACCTTTCTGATTTAAAATGAACTATATTTGTCTGGAATAATGACTTCAAAACCTTGAACCCCAAATATTCAGGAACTTTTTGTTTGGAATGCAGATACTCACCAGTTTCTTTAATGTACAGGATTAAAGTAAAACAGGCGATCTCATTTCTCAAAGGTCTTCTTTCTTTTTTCCACCAGAAATGCAAAAAACCACACTTCATTCGGAGCCTAGAAGAGGCAAAAATGTAATGCTGTAATTACTCTTGTTGTTGTTTGCGGTATCAGCTCTGTCAAATTTTAGTTACTATGACTAGGATCAGACCAAAAAAGGACTGGGAAATTCGATCGAGTAATTTTCATTTTGACACTTGGAGAGCATGGTTCTGTGCATATTGGTTTCCATCTCAATATAATACGGCCATTAGCCTCATGGAGAGTCTAATTATGTAAAATTAAACTGTGTATGATGATGTAACGGGGACTTGGAGTTTGCTTGTTACTTTTTGCTAAGCTGTGTTCTTTCTCTACAAAGGTGACTGGTTGAAATTACTGACTGATCCGTTAAAGCAGGTATCTTAGTGAGCAGAAACTTCCGCCAAGTATGCTACAGTTGCAAAATGGAATTGAAGTGGATGATTTTGCAAGTGCAAGTGGAGAGGAAGAAGGGACAACAGATTCAGGGGAAGAATGCCTGAATGAAGCAGGGATGCCTTGTCCACCCAATGGATATGGATCTTCTCCATTTATGGTTGGGGATCTGGAAATACTAAGCCTTGGTAAGATTTGAATGAAATGTTGATTTTCATGCACGGATTTGGAAATTGTAGGCCATGATAAAATTTGAATTTCTATTGCTCCTTAAGTTATTTTGGTTAAATTGACATGTCTGTCTTCAAGAAGCAAGAAAAGCAAGAAATGGCGTGGTAAAAAGGATCAAGATCTTCATTTTACAATTTACTTGTGACACATAATATACCTTTGAGGCAGATATAGTAATCTTTCTGTGAGTAGCACACACCCACACAGACACAATTGAACAAAACACAATTGACTTTCTTTGGGACTTTTGTTTGCCAAATCATCAATTAAGATAAATGGTTACCTTTCATTTTTGCATTTCCATGTTTATGAATGTGACAGCTTTATGACTAGTTGTGAAAATATGTTGCATCATAAGGGGTAATTGTATTTTAATCTTTGATAACCTGTTTAGTAATAATGTTCCCGTGCACTTTTTTCCCCTCAGGAAAGGTCGTGAAAAACTCTAAATATTTCCAGAATGATGGGTCTGTATGGCCTGAAGGGTATACAGCTGTGAGGAAATTTTCTTCTTTAACTGGTGGATATTTGAACTTTTGTAATTATCTTTGTTTTGCAGATATATCTGGTTTATCTTCTGATTGTGATGATTTCTAACAACATTCTTGTCATCTCCTTTGCTTGTTTCCAGATCCCAATGTCCGTACTTCATATAAAATGGAAGTTTTGAGAGATTTTGAATCAAAATTTCGACCTTTATTTAGAGTAACGTTGGATAATGGAGAGCAGGTTAGTTCATTAAATAGGATGGATATTCTTTCATTTGAAGATAAGGCTTAATATTGTCAGTATGCTATAATTTTTTTTTTTTTGTTTTTTTTGTTTTTTTTGTTTTTCCATTAGAAAAAACAAATTTATTATTTTATAACTATTACTATACTTGGATGGAAGCCAGATACTGGAAGAACTAGCAAACTTAGATTAAAAAAGGCCTTCTAATGTAAGATCGTTATGGAAAAAAGGCCTTCCGCTTGGGATTCACTTTCCATGAATTCATATAAGACTCTTGATTGCATTTCTTTAAGTTTTTTTGTTTGTCTTATTTTAATCTTGTCATGCAAGTAATTTGTGTCTCTAACCTGGATTTTCATCGTAGAGGTTTTTTAGTTGCCTTCTTTTCCCATTAAAAATGTAAGGTTATTAATGCAATCCTTTTCCATTGTTTGGCAACTCATGTGTATTGCTATAGTTTAAAGGATCCTCTCCATCTGCTTGCTGGAATAAAATATACAAAAGGATGAGGAAAATACAACATATTTCTGATACTTCTGCCGAAGTTAAAGGGGAAATTGTCTACAAGTCTGGTTCTGACATGTTTGGTTTCTCCAATCCAGATGTGAAGAAACTCATCCAGGTATACATCTATTCTTTTCCCTTTTTTGGGTGTTGCATTTTTATCAATTTAGTGCACATGCTTAATTTCTGCTTAAAACTTTTTTTCCTTTCTAAGAAACAATAGAAATGGATATACATATATTCAGTGAGGTGGCGGCTGTATCCTAAGTGTCCTCTTAGAAAAATCTAGCTTTAGTATTTTTGACTAATAAACTGCGATGTTTCAAAGTAAAATTCCTTTTTTCTTTTGACAGGGGATATCTAAATCTGGACTTTCTTCTTCAAGATCATTGGGCAAAGTAGCCTCCAAAAAATACAAAAATTTTCCCATTGGTTATAGACCTGTTCGTGTTGATTGGAAAGACCTTGACAAGTGCAGTGTCTGTCATATGGATGAGGTGAGAGATGGTTTCAGGCCTATATTCATTTACTTTGCCTTTATAATCACTCTCATTCTAGAAATTTTATATTTTATTATCCACAATTAACTACTGTCCTTCTAAAATAGCCTTCATTTGTTGCTGATACCCGGGTTTCCCTTTCCTTCTCTTTTCCTTTTAAATATGGTGCTTGCGGAAAGTAATTGCTTGTAATTTATAATAGTAAATGAAGTATGAAATTTGAGAGTGCTGTGCGATTGGAAGGGTTCTTTCCCCCCCCCCCAATAGACTTTTGGGGTATACGGGTGTCTTACTTTTAGTTGTTGTTGTAGTAAAATTTTAAAAATAAAGATTAGTAATTTTGTTTCCTACAAAAATGAAGGAAATTGTAGACTGTTGTTTTCTTAATATTTCTCGAGAGATTTTGATAGGTTTAGGTTCTGTAGCCAAGAAAAAAAATGCTTATTTCCAGACAATAAGAAAGAAACTTAAGCATGTTCTGAAATAAGTTTGATTCTTTTGTAAATTTTTATGCTTACGGATGGTATAAGCCTCAAATTGGAGTCCTCTTCACAATTCCCTTTGTAATACTCCCTTTAAAATCAATTTAGACTGGAGTCTTTTGTGCGATTCTACCTTCTTGGCCTTGACTCCTCGTCTCCATGGCCTCCATGGCCTCTTCCATTCTTAAGAAGTCTGTATATGCATCTTTGTTTCTCCCCTTGGCTTCTTTTTGAGTAAGGGGCTTAAATGGGCTCTTTTTTATACCCTTTACATTTATTTTTCAATTCTATCAATGATTTCAACTGTCTTATTATTATGATTGTCACAGTTAATGCTTTTGTGTTCCGCTAATCGAGCTTATCATTCTTTTCAATAGGAGTATGAAAATAACCTCTTCTTGCAGTGCGACAAATGCAGAATGATGGTATGTATCTGTCTTCTTTTCATAATTTTAATTCAAAATGTCATAGAAACTATCTTAAAAATTTGAAATAGTATTTTTCATTATTTTCTTGAGTATGAGTTTCAATGTCTGACAACTTTACAAAAAAACCAAAACTAGAAAAATACACAACGAACCCAAGAACCTTGAAAGAGAATAAAAAACTACAGAACTAAACAAACTCCCCTCTAAATATTAGAAATAATATTGGCCTAAATTTAAGCACAGTTTGATAATGATTTGCCTTTTAGTTTTTTGTTTCTAACAATTATGTTGACTTTCTCATTATACCAATGTTTTTGCATTTCTAGGGATTATTATTTTGATTTAATTACTTAGTATCTAGGGATTATTATTTAGACTTAGTTACCTAGTAACTAGGGGTTATTATTTAGATTTATTGCGACTTATTAACTAGAGATTTATTTAGATTTAGTTACTTAGCATCTAAGGAATTTAGATTATCTAGCTCTTCCATTCTTAAGAAGTCCATCTCCTCTTCAATTGTTTATGATATTGAATTGATGAAACATGTGATGTTAGTATGAGTCATGAGGAATCCTGAAACACGTTTAGCTGGTATACTAGTTGATAATTTTTTGTTGAAGGCTCTTTTGTTGAAGCATTTGAAAGCCTCTTTTCGATGATTGGAGGAATTCAATTTTTTGCAATCAGCAACACCAATAGCAACATATCCTTAGATTCCTTCCGAACCCCATTTCTAAATTGAGGTTTGTGGACTAGAGTGATGAAAAAAATCATGGCTCAGTCACCACCAATTAGGATCTAATTGTGCTTTACTCGTTTGTTATAATTGTCCAGCAACTAGAAATACTTCTTGGTATACCACAGGCTTTGGAGGTTGTTCTTTTTGTGTTGCCTTGATATCTTTTTCCGTTTCAAATTTTTTTTTTTTAATTTATTTTGAAGTTTGAAGGTTGTTGGTTGGTTTAGTGAAGCATTTTTTGGAAGATTTCTTGGGATTTTATTTTGGTGGCTTGGATTTTTGTGCGATTGGACGTTTTTGAGTTGGTTCTCCTTTTCGCAATTTGATTATGAATTTATGGGTTCTTGCTTTTAGCTAATATATTCCAGTTGTTTTGGGCTTTCTTTTTCAGCTTCCAAGCTCAAGTTCTTTAGTTTCCCTTGGCTTCTCCCTTCTTTCGTATCTTATGTTTGGAGATCAGCATTCTTGGCCCATATTCTGATGTCTTAGTTGGATTATTGTTTTTTCTTTTTTGATGAAGATGATTTAGTTTTATTTGGCTTGCTATTTATGTCATTTGTAATCCGTCTTTGTGTTTCTTTTCATTCATGTGTGGAGCTTTGTATCTTTTGAGCATTAGTTTCTTTTTTTGATATCAATAGAAAAGTCTCAGTTCTAGTTAAAAAAAATATGGATGACTTGAGTATTCGTGAAATGAAATTTCTGGCATGTTTTATATATTTATGTCAATTAGATGTATGAACTAATTAGTTTCCTCTGCTCTTTACCATTTTAATTTCTCTATCCTGATTTCAAAAAGCTATTTTGTATTTTCTTTTAGATTATAATATTGAACTTCACCTGGAAATTGTTAATTTGTTATATGTAGGTCCATGCTAGGTGCTACGGAGAACTAGAACCAGTTGATGGAGTATTATGGTTATGCAACTTGTGCCGGCCTGGGTCTCCTGACTGTCTTCCACCGTGCTGCCTCTGTCCTGTCATTGGTATTTAAATTCATATCATTAACGTTTCATTTCTGTATATAGTCTTTGTATAGTCTTTGTGTTATATTGAATTGTAAATTTATATTTTCCAGGAGGTGCAATGAAGCCTACAACTGATGGACGCTGGGCTCATCTTGCTTGTGCTATATGGATACCTGGTTTGTGAGTTTATTCTTTTAGGTGTTTTAGATAATTTAAAATTATAATATGTATTTTCACTTTCCACATTCTGCAGAAACGTGTTTATCTGATGTTAAGAAAATGGAGCCTATTGATGGTCTTAATAGAATCAATAAGGTACTGTCTCTGTTTCTAATGGTTAAATAACTTGGTTTTCAAATTCATACACCTTTTTCCATTTAGAATATTTACCTAAAATCTTCCTAGTTAAAAAGTTCGACGTACTTTGTTTATGACTGATGGAAAAAACCTCAATGGTGGATTTTATTTATTTTGATATGAAATCAAGTCATACTAATCGTCTTCATATATTGGTAAGAAGCCTAGAAGCAAGAACTAAGTTGCGTAAATACCTGTTCTTGTTTTTGTAATTTTGGCTTATTTTGCCTTAAATATTTGAATTTAAGTTGCGTAGCATATTCAATGCTCATTGTTTGCACAGCATAATCAATGCTCATTTTGTTTTAATTTTACGATCCAAAAAATGTTCATTTTCGTTTACTATAAACTTAAAACAGGATCGTTGGAAGCTGTTATGCAGCATCTGTGGGGTCTCTTACGGTGCTTGCATTCAAGTAAGTTTGTTATTAATTTAAGCATGGGTGTGTGTAACAGCTGTCTTTCTGATTTAATTACTGTGTTATAATTTGAGCTATCCCCACGTAGCCAATGGTTACAGAAAAAGGAAACCCAGTTGGCAGATATATGCACAATATAGTTACAATAAACATTAGTATGGTTAATATTCCTCTGGTTGATATGGGATTTTTTGATAAGTGGAGAAGATTTTGAGACTTCTGCTGTGGGGGGTTTTGGGTGATATAGATGGATAGGATTAGACATATACATGTAGACTTCTATTGTAAGAGAGACTTGATAAATTCGTACTTTGGACTTTAAGACGATGTACCCTTTCGTAGAAGGGCTTTCTGTTACTCCTGTTCTATTCATGTTAATCTTTAACTTGATATGGTTTTTCTATTCAAAGAAGCTTGGCTTCTTTTGATGCAATTTGCATTCATCAACTTTTAACATGAATAAATCATATTGGTTGGTCCATGGGACAGATAGGCAACTCATTATATCTCAGGACTCGGTAGGTTATTTACATCAAATAATCTTGTATCAGACAGAGTTTGGTTAGAATAATTGACTCAAGTGCAAGTTGACTAAGACAACTAGAGTTACTCCAAATAAAAGTTAAAAAGGAAATTTTGATAGAATTATGTGCTTATGACATGTTTCCCCATCCCTGCTTTACATTTATTTATATTCTTACTTTTAACTGTTTCTTACTCTGTAACAGTGTTCAAATAATACTTGTTATGTAGCATATCACCCTCTTTGTGCACGAGCTGCTGGTCTTTGTGTTGAGGTATATTTTCCATCCATTATGCATGCATTTGTTGAAGTTTGTTTGCTTGTTTATTTTTAATATTTGTACATACATTTTTTTTTCTGTAGTATCTATCTTATTCATTTTCATAATGTTTTCTTTTCTGTAATGTGAAAGCTTGAGGAAGATGACAGGCTCCATTTACTTGCTGCGGATGATGATGAAGAAGATCAGTGTATTCGATTACTTTCCTTTTGCAAAAAACACAGGCCGCCATCTAATGAGCGTTTAATGGCTGAGGATCGTATAGGGCAAGCTGGACAGCAGTGCTCTAATTATACTCCACCATGCAATCCATCTGGTTGTGCTCGTACAGGTTTGATACTTCTCTTGTTGAAGTAAATGTGTGATTGGTTGTATAACTGTTACAAAATTTAAAATTAAGGTGACTGGTTTTGTTTCTTTCTTTTGTGTGCTGTTCTTTGGACGAATTCAACTATTCTTTGGGTAAAAAACATTTTGATCCTTGTTTTTTCATTGTATAAAGATTTACTCTATAAACCCTAGTTTTCGAGATCTAGTCCTGAACTTTAAAATAGTAACAATTGAGTCCTTGAACAAGTGTGTAACTTTTTAGTCTATGCAGTTTAAAAGTTGTAATAATTTAGTCCCTATTATGAAAAATCTTACAAGTGTAGACTTTTCTTGTGTAATGATTTAGTGTATGCCACTTGTTAGTTTATTGATCTACATATACAAGAAATTCTATTAAATATAATATCTTCCACGATAGGAGCTAATTTAAATTACAGGGACTAAATTGTTAAAGTTAACTACTGATAGAGGCTACTTTGAAAGTACTAGTATTGAATAGGTTTTGTTAGTTCACATTGAAGTGTTTAATCCTTGATATATTGTCCTCTCCTTGGCAGAGCCTTATAATTACTTTGGAAGAAGAGGGCGCAAAGCACCTGAAGCCGTTGCTGCAGCATCCTTAAAACGCTTGTTTGTTGAAAATCAACCTCATATAGCTAGTGGTTATTCCCAACACTTGTCATCAGGAAACTTATTGCCTTCCAGTGGAGTCCTAGGCTTGAAGTTTTCTCTTCAACATTTGAAAACCTGTCAGCTTGATCCTCAAAACATACTTTCTATGGCTGAAAAATACAAATTTATGAGGGAGACCTTCAGGAAAAGACTTGCTTTCGGTAAGAATTAAATTCAGTAACCTTTGTTTTTTTTAAATCCCCATTTTGTAATGGTATTTTTGAAACATTGAGTATAATTTTAACTTATTCAGTTGCTTGTTTTTATTTTATATTTGTCTTATTGTTATTTTACTACTTCTATGTGTTTTTTCTTAATGAAAAATGAGTAAAAATCATCACAAATAAAAATGTTGTCAATTCAATTCTTGAACTTCTATTTGTGAATGCATTAGCAAGCTTTTTTTTTTTTTTTTTTAATTTTTAAAATACAGTCAAGGATGAATCACTTTTATGATTGTCCAACATGGGTTTCCTTGAGCATTTAACAAGTTTTCGTTCCCATCCATCTAACTGCCTTTCTTTCAATTGGAATCTCTTTTGGCTCTAGGGAAGTCTGGGATTCATGGATTTGGAATCTTTGCTAAGTATCCACACAGAGCGGGAGATATGGTAAAAAAATGTTGTTTTCTTTGATTTCTCCTGTTTTCAGTAAGTAAATGAAACTTGATTTCTTCAGGTAATCGAATACACGGGAGAAATTGTAAGACCTCCCATTGCTGACAGGAGGGAGCGGTTCATATATAATTTATTGGTGGTAAGTTCATTAGTAACCATTAACCTGCCTGCTCATCATTAACTACGATTCCAATATCAATATCTTGGTCTTGTTTTATTATTTATTTTTAATTTGAGTGCCTTGGTGGGCGTGTGTGTGTGTGTGATTTGTTTTTTTTTTTGGGGGGGGGGGGTTGATTGTGCCCTTATGTAATGTTAAAACAACCTGGCTCCATTTATTCCTATGTTTTGTCTGGTTGGCTGCCATTTAACTCATGTAGAGTGCTTGTTCTTTGATATAGTTGAAGTAGAATAAAATTATTTTTTCACAAACCGACCATTCTTTGAGATGAAGTACTTTCTAGCGTTAATTTGTTTCCGCTCTCTTGTAATCTGACTGTATAAAGGTGTGCTTGCGTTGTAACATCGTCTGATAAGGCAAGTTTTTTTTTTTTTTTTTTTTTTTTTTTTTTTTTTTTTTTTTTTTTTTTTTTTTTTTGTAAGGACGTAGTGATTCTTGNGATCCACTTATGAGGTGATTTAGTAGTGTAAAGTTAAAGGTAAGATAGATTCTTAATTTAATTAATTAAGATTTCAAATTGTCACTTGATCTGGAACCTGGGAAAATCATCTTTTTAATTTGGTTTTCTGGACGGAAGTGAATTGTGGGTTTCTTGAATTTGGTAAATTTGTGGGCATTCCTCTATTGTATCCTCAAGCAGATGTTGGAGTTTCCCATTCTTCCACCTTCATGAAAACAGACTAAGATAAGTTAATGAGTTCCATTTATTTCAGGGTGCTGGCACTTACATGTTTAGAATCGATGATGAACGAGTAATTGACGCTACAAGGGCTGGAAGCATTGCTCATCTGATCAACCACTCTTGTGAAGTATGTATTACTTTCTCTAGTTATACATTTATTTTTCCTTCTTCTCTTTAAACTTTTTTGCATTCTATCCTTGTGAGATAGTGTATGAAGTTAGGTGTCGGTAGAATAATCTTATACCCTTAGTGCCTTATGGAGATGAATGCATGTAAGCTAACATTTTCCCTTGGATGCTTGGTAAGAGAAACTTGGAACTCCTGTTTTTCTTTTATGAATTAGGCTATCACAATAACTGTAGCTCTTCATAGAATTGTTCAAGGAAAAATAAAATTTCGAATAAGGAGAAGATTGACATACTAAGCTTGTTGGTAAAGAATGGGATATCAGTGCTCTGTGAAATGCTTAGGTTCATGCTTGATCCATAAATACTTTACTATAAATCTTTCTCTGTTTAATCAAATGTCACGTACATTACAGAACAACGAACACACTGACCCATAATTGACGTAGCCATTGAACTGCAAATAAGCTCATTTATGGATTTCAAGGAAGTTATAACCATAATCCCATTCTTAGAATTAAATGAAAGTAGTTTAAGATTATATTACACTGCAGTTGTCTTCCGTGATGAACTTTCCATTCAGACATTAAAATTGCCATCAATTCTGACTGGCAAATAGAATTCTTTGACGACTACAAAAAAAATGAAAAAGAATTTATTTCATATGATAACAGAAAGCTAAAGCTTGATGTCCGGATCGAGAGAATTCTTGTCCTCAAGTAAAGGAGGTTTGATTCTCGAATACAACCTAATGACATATTGGGAACTTGCATTTTCATAGGGGAAAATTTCATTTGTGGAAGTTTTCATATCCCCAATAAATATAACGCTTCAGCCAGAGTTTGCTTATGGAAATTGGTTTCCGTTTGTTTTTTCGTTGCTCTATTTCCATCATTTTCCTCTTCAAAACAAGAAATTCTCATTGATTATTTACATTAATGTTTCCTTCATGCAGCCAAATTGCTACTCAAGAGTTATAAGTGTCAATGGAGATGAACACATAATAATCTTTGCAAAGAGGGACATCAAGCGATGGGAAGAACTTACATATGATTATAGGTTCTGCTTATATTTGGTGATTATATCCTATTTTCTGGTATTCTATGGATGCTCACGATTCAACCTGCATTCAGGTTTTTTTCTATTGATGAACAACTAGCATGTTACTGCGGCTTTCCAAGATGTCGGGGTGTAGTCAATGATACGGAAGAGGAAGAACGAGTTTCAAAGCTACATGTATCGCGGACAGATTTAGTAGATTGGAGAGGGGAATGAGGCAGGTCAGCAAAACAGGAATGATCTTTTATTTTTTATATTCCTACTTTTGATTGTGAAAATTTGCTTGATCGAGTCCATTTAGAGGTAAAATTCCATTTGTTTTCCGACTTTGTGTAAAATGCATGAGCTATCACATTCACTCATATATTCTCAACACATCTGCCGGTGATCCTTTCAATATATTTTGTTTGGCTACTCGCAACTCTTTTAGACTCTATTCTTCTGTTGAATGTGCCCTGGCTCTTTTACTTGTTTCATTGTCACCGTGGTTGCTGATTTTTCTGTATTCTCTTGGGCAGAACTATCATGTAAAGTTAATGGCAGCTCACCTTCAGCATGACATGTAGCATTTTTGCGACGAGTTCTGGCTTCTCAACTCAGCAATGTCTAATCAGGCAATTCTTTTTTTCCTTAATCCCATATTTCCTAATTGTACGAACACAACGTCTGACAGATGTCGAGATTAGCAGTCCAAATTTACAATATTAGCAGAGCATCATAGGAAAGCTTATTCTTAGTCTGGTTGACATATGGGTCCAATGCCCTTGGTTTTGTAGATTTGCCATTAGTTGGGTATCAAATGCTTCCATTGTTAACCATTGATTTTTTTTCCTTTGAGTTCATTAACCATTGATCTTCTGTACAGAATATTCTGAAAGTAATTGAAAATAATTGTTCTAAATCTTCATGTTATCACTTTTCCAAACCATTTTCCATATTTACGACATGAAGTGAGCAAGAACATAGGAATAATTTGGAACTCCATTTGATTGATTATACCTTCTGATGGCTATTCCTATATTGGATTGGGAATGATTATTTATGGTTACAAAAAGCAATGCATCTTTAGAAAGAACAAAACAATTGAAAACTTAAACATCACTTAAGGTGTGAAACTAGGAGCTAAAACAGAAATTCCTTCCTCTTCACTCTGAAATTGATTCAATGTTTGTTAGTACAGGATTGAGTCTAGATGAAGGGAAAAACCCATATCTTTCCCCATTAACATGAATGTCCACTTACCTTGGTCTTCAAGAGTGGCCCAAAGGGGTTGGCCCCCTATTTGATGTTAACATGTCTTGGCCCATAGGCCCAACCCTAAACCTACTAGAGAGAGAGAGAGAGAGAGAGGATATTAGTTTTGAATTGCACTGTTGAACTAACTATCTAACTAATACCCACCCCTATAATTGAAGATTGTTTTGGAGTAGGTCTTCTATTGTTCCACATTTAAATCATTCTATCTTGCTTCTAAAGCCAGCTTTTGGTAACACAACCAACTCCCTTTCCTTCTCATTTTCATACTTTTCATACCCTTAACTACATCACAAAACCTTATCATTTTCTTCTCAAGTTTCTTCTTCTTTACTTTGCTTTTAATCACTTCTACTTTTCCCTTCTTGAAAATATGAGAGCCTTTGCAAAATTTGTGGCTCTTCCCTTCTTCTCGGGTTGTGCTTCTCGCTCTAGCATCGCAACGGGTACGCCCGTTTCTACAACTACTCAAGGTCGAGAGCTTAACGGTTCAGATGTTAACCTGAGTGTAACAAGTAAGATCAATGGTTTCCTCATCTCTTCTCTTGTTTCCAAATTCCTTTGTTTGTTCTTTCAACCGAACATGGGTCTGTTTTAAAGTGTGTTATATGTTATTGTTAGGGAGAGAAGAAAGTGAACACAAAATTTCTGAAGTGAAAATGAAGAACCCTTCTGGTTTCTTCGTTTTACTTAACATTTCAAATGGAGTTCATAAGTTGGTCAGAAGCTTCAAAACTTTCTCCCAATTATTTGGTAAGCAAAAACTCTCTGCATCTCTTGTAATTATTTATTTACTTGAATTTTTTAGATTGTGAGTTAAGTATTATTACTTCCAAAGAATTTACTAATTTTTTTAACAAATATTGAAAATTGAAGAATGGAGACATGAAATTTTAAAAATTAAACTCTCTATTATGTTGAAACTTTTTACCTTATCCAACCTAACTTGAGAACTCAACCAATTGAAGCTAATGAAAACACCCACCCCCAATAGAGTATTAGTTGAATAACTCCAAGATTATTATATAAATCCCAAGTCATTAAACAAAAGGAGGGCATACCCACCAACTAATTTTGCCTACCTACCATTAATAACAACAGTACTAATCTATCTGTATTGTGTGTGTGTGTGTGTGGAAAACCCTAGTTTTGAGGAAGGAGGAGGAAGAAGACGTAGAGGAGGTGGAGATGGAGATCGGATATCCAACAGATGTGAAGCACGTGACGCACATTGGATTGGATGGCTCAACCACTACAAACCCCATTGTTAAGGGTTGGGATAATAATCTCAATCCCTTTCTCTCTTTTCCTTCCATTTCTCTAAGGCATTTTGAGCTGTCAATGGCTGCTCAAGCACACCCTCCTCCTCCTCCTCCTCCTCCTCTTCTTCTACCTTCATGATCATTCTTTCTTTCTTTCTCTCTTTCCCTCTTCAACCCTTTTCATTATGAATGTAGCTTCGATGATTTTAAGGATCCTTAATTTCCCTCCTTAACCCATCTTGGTTTTGGTTGGTTAAGGACAACATGATGTTTGTATCATATGCTGCTGTTTTATGAATTTGTTTATACTTCAAGATTCTTCTTTTTTTTCATTTGAATGGCTCGAATCCGTAGTCAATCCTGTTGAGAAAAAAGGAAGACCCAATTCCACGATGTTCAAGAATAAGGAAGACCCAATTTTACGATGTTGTTCAAGAATAGTAAAAGATAGGAGTTACTATGTTATCTATTTTGCACTTCAGAAATGTTTTTCTAAAGAGAAAATATAACTTTTGAAACTTTAAATTTAAGTAAAATTGTTAAAAATTATAGTTTATAGTTAGCACCTTAATTCCTTAAATTAAGGTATGATTGAATAGGATTGTTAAACGGGAACTTTGTGTCTTACTCAATAAGGCTCTCATACCAATAGGGAGAGTATTATTTGATTATAAATTTATGCCAATCGATTTAATAAAATATTTAGAAAATAAAAAATGAAGAAAAATATATAATTTTTTATTTAGTATAACATGCAAAAACTTCACTCCCCTAACCTCCGCATTTGGTGCAACTCTGTTCCCGACGGACTCGGAAACGCTCTCGACGCCCATAAACCCTCAGAAATTAGAAATCCTACTCGGAAACAATCTCGACGCCGAAAAATCGATAAGCTGCTTAGAGCCTAGCCACGGCTTCACAACCACAACCGATTCAAAAATCCTCTTCCGACCATTCTCAATCCCCACGATCCTCAAGTAATACTTCGTTCCGGCCACCACCTGCCTCTCCGCCGCCACCACCGCCAAGAACTCCACCTTTCCGCCTCCACTCTGCCGCGATCTCCGATTGTACTCCTCCACGCTGAACCTCCCTAATCCCTGCACCTCCTTGTTGCTCCTCACGTCTTTGATTCTTCTTCGTCCGCCTATTCTTCCGCTGTATCCTTCCGCCAGAAGCGCCACCTCCAGCAGCGCCACCACCACGACGGCGATCAGAGAGAGTCTTGCTTTCGTCATCGGCGTTATCGTTTTGAGGATGGGAACGAAGAGAAATTGGGGGAGGAAAGGGGTTTTATGGGGAAGGAGATGTGGCGCTGTTTGGACACGAAAATAGGGAAGGAGGTAGCAGAATAGCGGCGTGCCACGTCTTTTCTTGGCTAATGAGGCCGACGACAAGTGTTTCTTGGAAATCACCACATAAATCCCAACTTTTTTTAATTACATAATAAATAAATAAATATATTTTTTTACTTTTTTATTAAAGCCTCCAAAATATATACATGTATATATATTATTCGCTCTTCATGAAGAGTCCTGTCTTGGCTTGTTATGTTTTTTAAAATACATCGGAGTTAGAAAGAGGTTTCAACACCTTATAAAGAATATTTAGTTCTTCTCTTGGTCTATGCAGGATCTCACATATGTACTAAAATTTATCGGAGTTCTCAAAACTAAGCAAGACTGGTTCAAGAAGAGTTACCGTGTCATATATATTGGATCGTGTATAAAAAAATTATTTTAAAAATTTATATTTATTTAGTCTCTACATCTTTTAATTTTATATTGAATTTTGTAGGATGGGGGTGAGAAAGGGTTGAATATATGATGGGCGTTGGGGGTATAAGATAGGGAGGAGGGCGTCAGCGAGATGGCGCTGAGAGTATGCTGTTGTCTCTCTGAACACACGCCGCCAACGCACACACGAAACGCCTGCCCTGCTCGCCACGTCTCAACCTGCATGCATGTGCTACTCTTCATTCCCCCATCCCTTTTCTTCTTCCTACCTTTGCCCGTAGATACCACGGCTCCCTTGTCCACACCTACCCAAGTTTCAATGCTTGTTTCAACACTCATCACATCCACCCTTCCCCGTAGTTACCATGGTCTTGATGCTCCTCCGGTGACATCCCCACGCCTCGACCATTCTACTCGAGGCACCAGTATGATGTTGCACTTTGACAATTGTACTCGAGGCATCAGTATGATGCCACACCTCGACTATTGTACTCGGGTATCAGTATGAGATGTCACGCTTCGATCATTGTACTCGAGGCATCAGTATGATGTCACACCTCGACCATTGTACTCGAGGCACCAATATGATGCCACACCTTGACCATTGTTCTCGAGGCACCAGTATGATGTTGCACTTTGACAATTGTACTCAAGGCATCAGTATGATGCCACACCTCGACTATTGTACTCGGGGTATCAGTATGAGATGTCACGCTTCGATCATTGTACTCGAGGCATCAGTCTAATGTCACACCTCGACCATTGTACTCGAGGCACCAATATGATGCCACACCTTGACCATTGTACTCGAGGCACCAGTATAAAATGTCACACTTTGACCATTGTATTGGAGGCACCAATATAATGCCACACCTCGACCACTGTACTCGAGGCACCAATATGATTGCTACACCTTGACCATTGTACTCGAGACACCAATATGATGCCACACCTCAACCATTGTACTTGAGGCACCAGTATGATGTCACACCTCGACCATAGTACTCGAGGCACTAATATGATGCCACACCTTGACCATTTTACCCGAGGCACCAGTATGATGTCACACCTAGACCATTGTACTCGAGGCACCAGTATGATGCCACACCTTGACCATTATACTCGAGGCACCAGTATGAGATGCCACACCTTGACCATTGTACCCGAGGCACCAATATGATGCCACACCTCGACCATGGTACTCAAGGGCACCAGTATGATGCCACACCTTGACCATTGTATTTGAGGCACCAATATGATGTCACAACTTGGCCATTGTACCCAAGGCACCAGTATGATGCCACACTTCGACCATTGTACTCGTGGCAACATCGTTAAATTCTTTTTTACAAATTCTACCAAAAGAAATTATTTCAAGAAAGAAAGGAGAAACATTTAAGAAAATAAATAAAAGATAACATTAAAAACATCAAAATTCAATTCAACCCAAGCATAATTCAAATTGAAATTAAGGCACTAAAAAGATGAAAACTCCAAATTATTTGAACAAAAAAAAAAAAAAAAGTAAAATCCACAATTATTTCAATTATATACGCAATGAATATGATAGACAATTTGTGGGTTTAAAGAGTAAAGTTATTCCCAATAAAAGAACAAAAAAGTTAGTGAAGCAGTGGCATAGCTTTATTCACGTGCTTTCTCTGCAACTCTTCCATTATTGGCGAAAGGGAAAGGAAAGGGCAACGGAATGGAGGACATGGACTGGCTAACCCAGCTCCCGGAGGAGTGCATCTCTCGCATCCTCGCCCTAACGCCGGTGAAGGACGGTTGTCGAGCCGCCGCAGTCTCCCGGACCTTCAGATCCATCGCTACTTCCGACGCTGTTTGGGAAGCTCGGCTGCCCTCCGACATCAAAGACGTCATTTCGCAGTCGTCATCGCCGTCGTTGCCGGAGTTTCTGAATTCATTGTCAAGGAAGGATCTGTACTTTCATCTCTCCGATCATCCACTTCTGATCGGCACCGGAAACACGGTAACAAAAATTAGTGATAATTTCAAAAAAAAGCTTAATTTCATGAGATGTTCTTCAATCGTACAAATTTCAGAGCTTCGGTTTGGAGAAAGAGAGTGGGAAGGTGCGGTACATGAGAGGAGCAAAGGACTTGAAGATCGTGTGGTCTGACACTCCCCAATATTGGCGATGGGAACATGACCCTCAATCTAGGTATTCACCTCGACTTTCTTGTACTCATTCCAATAACTCTTTTACTTGCTTTCTGATCAATTTTCTTTCATCTACACTTAGAATAACTTAGTGTTTTTCTATGAAACTAACAATTAAGTGAGATCCCCTGTAATGCTTTACTTTTAATTCTCTATCGCTAACTATGTTGAAACGATACTTGGTTCTAATATGTTTTCTTCATCCATGAAAAACTAGATTTTCTTGGTAACGTAACGATAGGTGGATTGTGAGATCTCACATTAGTTAGGAAGGAGAACGAAGCATTTTCTATAAGGGTGTGGAAACAGTGAATTATGAGATCTCACATTGGTAGGGGAGGAGAACGAAACATTTTCTATAAGGATGTTGAAACTTTTCCCTACCATTTTAAAAATCTTGAACGGAAGCTCAAAATGGAAAACCCATAGAGGACAATATCTGCTCAGTGGTGGGCTTGGATGGTTACAAATGGTATCGGAGCCAAACACCAAGTGATGTGTCAGCGAGAAGGCTGAGCTCTGAAGAGGGGTGGACAAGAAGGTGTGCCACAAGGACCCTAGGACCTGAAGAGGAGTGGATTAGGAGAGTCTCACATTGATTGGAACGAGTGACAGCAAGGGGACCCTAGGACCTGAAGAGGAGTGGATTAGGAGAGTCTCACATTGATTGGAACGAGTGACAGCAAGGACACAGTCCCGAACCCCACATCGGTTGAGAAGGAAAACAACAAAACATTCTTTAGTGTGGAAACCTCTCCCTAGCAAACACATTATAAAAACCTGAAAAGACAATTTTTGTTAGCAGTGGACTTGGGGTGTCATGAATTCTATATCCCGAACTCTAAGTTTGATCGAGCCAAGGATCTTTTGTCGTATATTTCATCTTATTAACAAAAATTTTGTATCAGGTTTGGTGTAGTGGCCAGGTTGGACCATGTGTGGTGGCTTGAAATAGAAGGCAGGATTGAAGCAAGAAAGTTGAGTCTGAAAACAAACTACGCAGCACATTTTGTGTTCAAGCTTACGGAGGAGGCACAGGTGTTCGAGAGGAAGCCGGTCAAGTTGCGGGTTTATTCTGAAGGGGACGACACCCAAGAAGCAAAGCAAGTGCTGTTGGAACCTCCTGAAGGAGCTCCCACTCAAATTCGAGAAAGACAAGACGGGTGGATTGAAGTTCATATGGGTGAGTTCTATAACGACTTGGGAGACGATGGCTCCATTATTTTCAATCTACAGCAGCTCGCTCGTAGCCCTTATCAAGGCTTGATTGTCGAAGGAATTGAGATCCGACCTGTAAACTGATATCATTGTTCATATGCTTGTAGCTCCTCCTTTAAATAATGCCAAGGGGAATATGTTGTATATCAGCCCCTACGCCATCGAATTTAGACCTATAAATGGAGGTTGTTTGATGCTTTTTTAGGCTATTAGCTTTTCCTCTCGTGTTTCTATGGTCGGCTATTAGATCTCAATCCTCGAACCGATCCCCACAGAGAATTCCCACCCCAATGCCCTCGAAACTAAAACAAAAAGTAGGCAGAACAGAAATGAAGAAACTCTAATATGATCTGAGAAAACTCGAGCTCTATCGCAAGATGGTTCAAGCCTCAGTTCAAGAGTACCATGCCAAGGAGATTCGTCATGTCAGCGATGCCCCAGACATGCTACTTAACCAAGCAACTTACAAAGATTTGATCAAAACATAATCAGAACAGAGCATCCTTCCCCAAAAATTTTAGATTAGTTTAGAGTGGCCGCCTTAGCATAGAAGAGGAATGGCAAGTAGATCTTAAGGCTTTACAAAGATTTGATCAAATCAAATGGAACCAAATTTTCCAACATCAGTTAATTTAAATAGGTTAAGAGAGATTCAAGAATCTAACAATCTAAATCTAGATCACTTGCATTACTTGGCTACTCAATTCAGATTCAAGATAAACACACAAACTTACCACCACATTTAGAATAAAGGTAACTTTTTTTTTTTTTTTTCTCTTTCTAATGACAGATTTGTCCAACTGTGTAAAAGTGAGAGGAGGTTTAGTCATCATACTCCCCTTGGGCAAACTTGTTCTCTGGATAGAATACAGCCACTACTTGGTTCCCTCCAAATTTTCTTCCATTCAAACCAGCTCGAGCCTTGGTTGCGCTGTCAATGTCTGCATACTCCAAAAACACCTGGTGTATAGAACATGTCTGGAAACGATTAGACTTTCTAGAATAACATGACAAAAATCTTTAACTCAACTACACTTAAGTTTTTTTCAAATCTCTACCACTCAGATTATTCCTAATAGGTTAAATTACAAATTTGTTCCATATGATTTGGGAAAGGTTAGGGTTTTTAGTCCCAACAGTTCAAGAAGTTAGAATTCCGTTCTTATGGTTTGATAAAACCCTCAAATATTTATGAATGTTTGTCAAACCATGGGAGCTAATTTTAACATTTAAAGTAAAAAAGACTAAATTCGTAATTTCTCAAAACCAAAAGCACCAAATTCGTAATTTAACCATCTTAATATCATAAGATGAATGCTTTTGCAACCTTTGAACACTCAAAGGTACGAAAAAAAAAAAAATTGGGTTTGCAGGACGAATAAACAAACTGGCAGATAATTTTCAAAATGGAAAAAAATGTAAAGCATGGTTGAAATTCAGTAAGTCATGCCTTTCCAACTCCAGGTGCTGCATCATTGGGTCTTGGACGCGGGATAACGACATTCACTAATGTACCTGCAAAGACATAATAGAAACACTTGGAACCACAAATTTGCAGAATCAAGTAAGAAATTTATATTGGGTCGGCGTATAAAGATAGAAGGTTATGGAGGCTTCTGTCTGTAAGTTATTTGTCTGATTCTTTCTACCAGAATGTGAGGACAAGAAAAGGCTGTAAAACAGAGATATCACACAGAAAAAACAAACAAGGAAACAATAAGTATGCATGAAGCATTGAGGATTATATCTACAATATAGAATCTATGGCGTTATGTAAACATTCAAACAATGTATTAGCTTACCAAACTTTTCGCCTTCGCCTCGCATGTCCTCCATGATATCTTCGTAGTCTTCATCGTTAATAAGCTCTTCGGGGGAAACAACTTGTGTAAGACAAAGGACCTTGGTGGATACAGCCCCTGGCTGTAGCATCAGCTTCTGCAAAAAGAATTCGGTAAGACAGTAATAAATCAAAGAAAATACTTCACAGCGATAAATTACCATATTAATAGATAGATGATCAACAAAAATTTAACCAAGAGCTAATTCTGTTCGTCCTGATTAGCAAACTAAAGAGCAGTACAGATTCATGACTTATTTCGATTTATTCATGCTTTCGTTAATAGGTGCACTTGAAATGCATACCAGACAAGGAAACTAAAGCATACTAATTGCCACTAAAAGTCATTTATCGCTATTTAGGATAGTCCATGCATTTTACAAAAATTTACAAGTTTAGACTATTTTTGGGAATTTTCAGTCCTTCAGATCATTCCAAGGAACTCAACAACGTGCTGGCTGAATAAAAAATTCAATGGAACTATCTAGTTAATAAAGGATACTTAACTTCTCCAAGTTAATCAGTTGAAATACAAAGACATACATAACGATAATTTCAATGATGTATGCCTTTAAAACTCCTATGTAGGAGAAGGGCATTGCATGTGCTGTTCATTAAAAATTCAACATAAATAGAGGGAAGGCCTACCAACTTTACTCACCTGCAATGCAATTTGCTGCTGTGCGTGTAACAAAACACTTTCTTGCTCTGGTTTGGGCTGGTTGGTACCTTGATTAGCACGTCGAACAGTGAGCGTCTTATCACCCATTTTAATACCATTGAGGGCTGCACAGGCTATGTCTGTGACTGAAAGATCTTGGTAAACACAAAATGCATAGCCTTTTGAATTTCCAGTTTCCCTATCTTTCACCAGATCAAAACCTCGCAGGGGCCCAAAAGACTCCAGCAACTCCCTGACCTGAGCTTCTGTGAAGTAATAGGGTAGTCCACCCACAAAAATGCGGTCTGGACCCTCAAGACCACCAGCAGAACCTGGTGTTAGACCAACAGCTGCTAGGTTCAGATTGGGATTCGGCTGGCTGGGACCAAGCGTTGCAGCAAGTGAAGGATTGTAATCACTAGGCCTTCGCACCTTAACAGGTGCTCCCTAATTTGAAAAATAATAAGAAATAAGAAAAATGTATTTCACAATAAATTTTATCTGAACATAAAATATGTATATAAGATACACACTAATGAAAACAAAGCACCTCAAAGATGATACCATCCAAGGCCATTGCATTACTAGCTTCCTCAACAGATCTCATTTCCACAAAAGCAAACTTTTTCTCATGATTTATGTACACATTGACCACCGCATCTCCTATAAACGATAGATGGCCAACACAAGAATTGGTTAACTTGGCATAAAAATAGAAATAAAAAATTAATTAATTTTAGATGGAAAGAAAAAGAACCCCATACCAGGGCCAGCGGTATTTCCTCCTATTGCTGCCATGACCTGACTGAAAAATGTGGCAACAGACTGCAAACAACAAATAAACTTTGTGAGTAAAGGAGATGAACAAGGTTATTGCCACTACACTCGAGAAAAAAAGAGATGAACAGACATAGCCAAGATAAGTTATTCAAAGTTTTCTTTGAGTCAACAGGTAGGATAATAATTCATGTTTGGCAATATAGAATTAAAAAAATCAATAATGAATGGAAACTAAGACCTTCCCAGAACAAATTAGCTAAAGATCTGCAATTGGATGCAAAAGGTATAGAACTCCAGATAAGAATACATATGAAGATACGGACTTCAAATATTAAATAATATAGTAAAATATGAATAAAAGAAGAGTGACAAGAGGTGCAAAATAAACCTGTTCATTGGCCGTTGGCGGTAGCCCTCCAACATAAACGCGCCGAGCATGTCTTGTAGCCTAAAAAATAACACCAAAGTTTCAAAGTTCAACTTAGAATGCGTAAAACCAAGAGAGAGAGAGAGAGAGAGAGAGAGAGAGAGAGAGAGATGTACAAGGCAAATCATTACCTGCTGGGTCATTGCCTGAACCGGCATAACAGGAAGTGCTCCAAAGGGCTGCATGAAAACAAATAAAAGTCAAAACAAGGTAAAGTTCAAATATATAAATTCTGTCAGATAATAAATGCCATTTTTCAAAAGATCATGTATTGTTCCAATTTTTAAAAAAGATATGGAAGAGGCAGAATTACCTGGCCCGTTGCCAGTGGAAACATGGCAGGAAACATTCCAGGAATAGCTGGAGTTGTCCCAGGAATCTGGCCTGCTAAAGAAATGACGCTATATCTCAGAAAATAATCATAATCAACCCAACAACATTTGGCACACATAGGATTTCAAGTATCACTTGAACCTACTTCATGCTTCACGAAACACAATATGATGCAACTTAGCCTCTTTGATAAATTCTTTAAGCATACAAATTTTATACATGTACATATTCTGAAAAATATTTGTAAGACTACCCAAAAAGGAATAAGTTTCCAGATGAAGACGAACAAGATCCATCTAACCGGTGCATTGGTCCTTCTTGCACATAAAAGCTACAGAAGTCAGCTCACGCCCATTGTCAGCACATAGGGGCAAGTAGCCCAACATTGCCTTCTCAAACATTGGACGAGACATAGAAACAAAACAACAAACAAACACCAAACACAAGCAACAAAAAACCAAAATACCTCTCAGTTTCAGAATGAGTGTACCAATTTAATAATAAATAATAGCATAGCCTGCTCAAAGACCACATTTTTAAATTGCTACATATGCAGATGAAGGAACAAAATATAGCTTACCAAATGACACCATGCAATTTGTTGTCAACTTTCCACACTATATCCAACAAAGAAAAGCAGTTAAATAATACAAAAGGATATTCCTGTGTGCAAGGAATTAGGTACCTGAAGCAGCAGTTGCACCAGGCAATATTGCAGTAGTCGGAGGAGCCATGTCAAAACCACTAATTCTTTTGCTGCAGATAAAGAGATGTTAGCATAACAAGTTCAGAGACAAAAGAAGCAGAAAGACGCTAAACCTTGAAATCTCATCACCGTGAGAGAGACAACTGTATAATGCAGAAGAAATTCAACCTAAACTAGAAAATTAACAGGTATCTATGTGACGAACAGAGCACTTGGGAAACCAAATAAAGATAACTTGTCGCTCGCATTAAAATATTGAGTGGATACATGATTCCAAACCATATAACTTCTTTCTGGGAAACACTACCCAGATACACAGCTCAAAAACAAGATGTGGACGTCCCTTATATTCCATGGCAACTTAGAACTTAGAAGAACATATTAACAATTGTCTATGGTCCATAGGAAAATAGAACTCTATCCATACTAAACAAAAAATGAAACGCCAAACAGATGTTTCATAACATTCCACATACTGACTAAT